GCAATAAGGGTGGCTAATGCTGCTGCAGGAGCTTACTGTCTCCCAGAGGTCTGAGTGTAGCTCTGTACTTGCTAAATCTCTTTCCCAAGTCTTGTTTTCCAGCTGGCACAATGCTGGTGGCTCAGCCTCTTGCTGTCACCTCCTCAAGGATGGCACAGCTGCCTGGTACCTGTTTACCAGGCAGTCCCTGGTCCATGCCAGCTCCGCGGAGGACTAAGGGCTTGCTTGAGTCAGTGTTGCAGACCCAGGTTTCCCTCTGCCTGGCCTCCTGTCCCCTCCCTTCCCTGTTTTGACCCCCAGGCACATCGGAATGAATACCTTGTAGGCTGAGCTCCTCACCAGGGCTTCTTTTCTGGAATCCCAGCCTGTAATCTGGACTGGTTGGCTCTTTGCCTATTCTTTGAGGTCTGTGACACCATCCTGGGGCCAGGGACATTGATAACAGCTCACCTTAATAGCTCTCCTCTGTGGCCCAGGTCAGCTGAGGATTTCAATTAGAACATGGCTTGTGATATCCACAGGGCTGTGACAGCACACCCTCCTTGGCACCTGCAGAGTGGCAGCCACCCAGAAGTGGAGGGGACATCGTGCCAGCCGCTTGCCGTCCTCCACTCCTACCCATGGTGCCACTGACTTGGCTGAGCACTGAGGAGCTGAAATGAAGTCAGGATGATATCTGAGAGTGCACAGTGGGATCCCTTGCAGGACTCTGCCTAGATTTTTTCCCCCCTAAAACTGAGATGAAGGCTTTTGGATTTCATGGAGAGCAGTGAAGGGAACAGGCAGTCCCTGGCTGTACATTAATTTCTTACAGTGACGAGTATCAGCTGGGGAGAATCAGGCAGCACAGGGGGGCAGTGGTTCTTGGTTTGTGAGGTGGGCAGGTGGAGGGTGTGGGGGTTGGGGTTGGGGTGGAGGGTAGGGGGGTGGAATGGTGGGGCGTGTGGGTGGTGGGGTGGGTAGGTAGTGGTGAAGGGTGGGTTCTGGGGGGTTGTCTCATCTGCTTGGCTAGCAGGGGAGTGTACACACCTGGCTGTGGGAGCACCTCAGGGGTGCAGAGTGTTGGAGACCTGTGTGGTCCAAGTCAGCAAGCAGAGATGTAGTGTGTCTCATTACTATGTAGGGTGGAGTTATTCTGAGAGGATTTTTTTTTATTGGTAATCTAAGTTTCAGTTTAATTTGGTACCCTGTGTTTTATCTGAAGCCCTAATAAAGAAGAAAAGAGTTGTTGGGTAGAGTTGAGAAGTAGTCATTTGTTGAGCAGAAGAGGTCAGAAATCTGCCCCCAGCCCACCCCAGGAAGATCAGGAGCGGGTTTGCATCTTGGGCATCATTTTACCTGGTGGAAAGACAGAGGGCTGGGAAGGGGAGAGACAGTGCCAGGACAGTGCAGGAGAGGCAAGCATGTGCAAGGTCAGGGCCCTGACCTCTCTATGGCCACCTGGTGGGGCAAGTCAGCCCAGCGCTTAACCTAGAGCTAGAAAAGCCATCCAGAGTCTCAAAGCAGGAGATTTTGTCTTACAGTTAGCTAAGTTTATTTTAATTATGAAAGTAATATTAAATCTTGCTAAAATAGTTCCGGCAGCAAATGCTTACGCTTGTTTTCCCTTCCCCAAGGCCCTGCTGCCACTCTGTCCAGAGGCAGCTTCTGCAGGCAGCTTTCTGTGTTCTCTTTCAGGACAGTTCTGCATCTGCAAGCGTGGGTGCTGCATTGTCCTCACTTCCTGTATTTACTGAGCTGCAGACTCACTTGTCCACAGCATGCTCTTTTGCAGCTTACTAGTTCTCCTACTGACAGTGTTGCTGAGACTTCTTTCCCATAATATAATGGAGGATATGTGTTCTTTATGTGAAAAATAAATAAAAATAGTTTTAAAAATTGTATTGTTGCTATTGTGTATTCTGCCACCGAGATGAAGGCAGTTAGTTACTGGCTCATAGTAGGTAACTCTTCAGGGTGGAGGAGCACCTGTGAGCTCTTCCATAGAAATGTTACTGGATGGTGGGACATGCGGGGATTCTTTCCTGGTACCTATTGTCCTGAACAAAGAGCTGGACCAGACACACAGAAAGGCAGAGAAAACGTATCGGAGGCAGGAAAGAGGTGTGTGGTACTGGGCAAGAGCAGGCCAGTGTTGGCTACACCGCCTGAGAAGGGAATGGGGTCCTTTATATCTGCGGTTCCCAGCTTGGCTTCCCAGTGCATGCAGATAAGGCTTTGGGGCAGTTGTCCTCTCAGAAACTCACTTGGCCTGGTGCCAGATTTAAACTGCCCATGGGAAGACTTGCTTGATTTTCCTGTGGATATAATCAAAAGGCTTGAGAATAGCACTTTCTTGTTTGGTTCTGCATACAGTGCCAGATTCAAATGAGCGATTGTGAATATCGGGTTTTGATTGGCCCTGTGTGCTCAGGAGCCGTGGAGTCATCTTGGGTCCTGTGTTCTGCACTTGTCCTCTGGGTTTTCACAACCTTTGCCACATTCTGCCTGGTTAGTTGCCTAGTTTGCATCAGCTGTAATCTCCTACTGCATGTATGGTTCAGCTTGGAGACCCCAGCCTTCTCTAGTCAGGCTTTATATTATGCAGTAACTAAATACCATGAGCTGAATAGATGCAGTCAATTTGAATTGTTGAATAATTTAAAAATATTTAAAAAACATACTTGGATTCAGATTCACATAGGGTTTTTTCCCCCCTAGTATGTATTTTCTTGCTCATGTATCATGAAAACTGACATAATTTGTCTCCTTCTCTGAATGGATACTTTACATCTTTTCCTTCCCTGACCCCTATACTACTGGTCTATAACTCACTATACTTTAGCTGGCTCATTTGTAACATCTTACGATCTAGTTTCCAGACCTTTCAAGTAAAGTATTTATATGAAGGAACCATAATTGACTTTTCAGTTGAGAAACCCAATTTACCAAAGTGGCTAGGGGGAGATATAGTTCATTTTGCTTTCTTATCAAATCGATGTTCAGATAATATTTTAGGATTATTTATTTTTCCAAATATAAGAAAAATGTCAACATTTATTTCCCATGTTTCTTAAATGTCAGAGGATACTGACCTGGGGCCAGAGAACTCTCAGTGCCTTGTGTTTCACAGTCTGGGCTGAAGGACGAAAATATGACACTGGATAGTGCTGAACGCAAGCACACCCCATGTGTGGGATGGACTTGGCTGTAGGTGTGAAGAAAGCTGATCATTGCTTTTCTGGACTAATCAGAAAGCTGATACAACAGGGAGGAAGCCTAGAGGAGTGGGATTCATTCAAAAGGGATAGGAAGGTCGTGTCTGAAGGCCTCCTAGAAGGAGGCAGGTCGTGTGGACAGTGGGAAAAATGTGTGGCATGTGGGAGATGAGAACCAGGAGTGTAGGGTTCAGTAGGGACCCAATGTAGCTGGACACTGGGCATCGCTGAGTAGGCTGAGTAAGAGCCATCCATTTAATAATTCAGACTGATAGTCCAGTGCAGGTATGCAAGCAGTTGAAGCATGGCAGAGTTGTGGGCGCTGTGTCAGGGTCTAGGTAGGCAGTATTGTAGTGGGTGCTGTGAAGGTTCTCCAAAGGGAGTGCAGTCTGCTGTGGCAGTGGTGTGATGGGGAGGTGGACCTGGAACTGGGTGGGACAGGATGCAGTACTGGAATCACAGTAGGGGTTAGGGTCAGATCACAGGATCAGATTAGGAAGAACTGGACATGGCCCTAAGACTGGACTTTACGCTGGAACTTTGAGACATTGCAGAAGGAAGTTAAATCTGGGGAACTTCAGAGTGAGATGTGCATTTTGAACGTCCCTGTCTTGGCAGCAGGTGGATTGTGGATGGGAGGGACAGGGCCACAGGCAAAGAGACCAAGATTCCTCCATGCAGTCTTAATTGAAATGGTTTCCTGCTGTATGATATACAATTTGTTTCAACTTACATTTGGGTGTTGGATCATTTTATAACAATATTACTTCTCACATTGTTTTTATCTGTCTGAAGATCAAATCATATCTGAAGAAATCTAGTTTCTGTCTCTGCCCCTTCTACTTCATTTTCTTGTTTCTCCATAGAAAGCCTTTAAAATCTGCTTAGGTTATTATTTTAATTTTTCCATATAAATGGTAGCATTTTATATACTGGTGCTCCTTGACTTACAATGGGGTTGTGTACTCAAGTTGAAAATGTCCTAAATTGAAAATTCAATGCATACACCCATCAGAGTTTAGCAACACAAGACATTGTAGAGCCCTGTGGGTTGTTCACCCTTGTCATCTGGGGGCTGTCCAGCATTATTGGTGAGGACCTGGACCAAACATACTACTAACCTGGGAACAGACCAGGATCACAAGTATGATTCCTGTTGAGGGACACTGCTTTCACTCGGTTGTGTAGACTAGAAATCAAAAGTCAAGCTGGGCTCTACCTGTATACTTTTCTCCACTTAACCATGGATATTGGTGACCATGGGCGTGTTTATCGAGATCTTCCTCATTGTTTTTGCAGTGGCATCACACTATGTTGTGTAGGTGGACAGCCATTTATTCTAGACAGTTGTCTTCTCAGTTTTCTTGGCCTCCAATTTCTAACGGACATGATGGGTTGCGTCGAGGTGGGAGCAGATCCGGACTGGCTGTGGAAGCCCTACTGAGTCCTGAGCACCCGTCTGTTTTTCCTGCTTCTTATCCAGGTGGAGGCACCCAATGTCTTTTGCTTTGTTATTAGTTACATAGGGCTACTTTATTCTTAGACACATTCCTTCATTTGCTTTTTGTCTTATTTAGGAATTTTTCAAGATTGTAAGAACATTATTTTTCAGTTTTTAATGGTGGCATTTGTTTTGTGTGTCTTCATATTTATGGTATTAGTAAGGATTCAAGGGGAGTGTTATTAGAGATTATTCATTTGATGTCTTTTTGTAATGAAAGCCCCACATATGAAAAATAAATGCAACAATTTTTTTATATCACCTCTTCTCTCCTAATCAATACTATATTGTTTATGTTGCAGGGAAAAGGACTTAGAGGCCAAGTTCATTATTCAGATGGAGAAAAGCAAGACAACAATCACAAACTTAAAGGCAAGTAGTGATCCGGATCCCCTGCAGCTCTGTGAGCCCCATGTTTGCTGTCCTAGTGGGGTGGCTTCTTGCTATTTCTGTTCCCCTCTGTCATCAGTTACATTAGCAGAGTTGGCTTGCTTTTGATGAGGCTGGAGTAGAACCAACTTTCCTCTCCTATTGCCAGTTCTTTGATCTGGATCACAGATGCACAGGGTCAGTCTGCTGTGGGAGCTTCAGAGCATAGACCAGCTGCATGCAGGCGTTTTCATCCTGGGTGCTTGAGTTGATATCTTAGCCCACAGATGAAGAGCTAATCCTTCATTCACAACACAGAAAATGAAAGATTAAAAAAAAAAACCGTAAAAGCATGTGTAAAAAAATAGAAAACAATCATTTTCCAGAAAGGCAAATTCTTTATTTTATACTTAAAGTATCTCATTTGTTTCTTTGGTCACTTCCTTTCTTTCTTTCCTTCTTCCTTTTTTTTTTTTTTTTTTTTTCTGTATTTTAGAGAAGGGTCTACAGAGTGTTCAGGGTCTCACTACTAGATCGGACTCATAGTGATTCCGCCTGTTTATAGCCCCCCAAGTGCTGGGATTACAGGCACATGCCACCACACCCAGTCTCAGTCGCCAGCTCAGCATGCCTCGGAGGCCGGCATGGCACTTCATTTCTTAATGGCCATGAGTGCTTTTCACTTGGAAGAAAGAGGGTTGTAAAGTTAATAATAAGGAAGGTGTGTGATTTGGGGTTAGGTGGTTACTTCTTCGATCTTTGTACTTCTGGGCTTGGGTTTCTGAGCCTGCTGCTCCATGACCAATAAAGGTCACTCTCCAGTTCACTAAGGAAAGAATTTCCACTAAGTCAAGGTTCAAAGGGCTGGACACATGGAATTCACTTTCAGAGGAGCAGAGCTGGATGTTCAGTGGTGGACGTTGGGGAGGCACCTGCCTTTTTCCTGCAGAGTGCTCTGGATGGTGTGCTGGCCCCTTCTGCAAGCTGATGTCCCTTGGCTTGAGGCATTTGCTGCTTCCTTACTAGTCACCGTTCCCTGTATGTTGGCTCTGTAGCCACTTTGAGTCTTCTGTCAAAGCGTGGGCTCCCACACCCTCTCAGCTTTCCACCAGTCATCCCCTGTCTATTCCCTGCTCCCAGTTCCCTCTTCTTTGCCTTGGATGCCCTTCCTTTGCACTTTTGGCATCCATTTCTCTTGATTCCTCTGTTGCTTTTTGTGTTTAACAAACATCTCTCTGATGTTTGAGTCACTGGAAACAGATACCCACAGTTCTTTATAATGATTTCTTAATGTGCTATTATTTTAAGTGCTAATGTTTTACCAATTCTCTTTATAATATATGAATTACTTGAAAAATATAATGGCTATCGAATCTGTTTTTCTAAGTCTGAGGAACTGTATGAGGTTTTTGAGAGTCTGGAAATTTTTAAATATGAGTTTGGCTTCAAATGAAGCATACAGCCTGGTAGACGAGACATGTAAGCATGTGTAATTAACTCACAGTATGATGTGTCCTGGGAGACTTGTGCATCTCAGATAGGAGAATTTCCTACTGGATACAGTGCATTAGGGAAGGTTTTTGGAGAGATACCTGACCGGGATTTCCATGGGAGCCACCAAGTTGCACAACTCTAGGTGATCCCCGCCCCTCCACAGTCTGTGTGAATGGCATCCCGGAGCTGCGCAAAGCCCTGTCCTGGTGATTCCAGCAGAAGGCACAGTAAGATCGTTGGAGATAGAAAAATTGTCTGCTTAGCATGTTGGGTTGATGTAAATTAATCATAAAAGAAGAGGCAAGAAGAGTTGTCATGGGTTATAGTGCATCCTGGATTGGTGAGGTAAGGGAGTTTAGGTGGCAATGAAGTTTTATTCATTTTTTTAGAGAGACTGGCAGGAATTTCTTAGGGTATAAATATGAAAATATGTCATAAATAATGTTGAGCATTTTATTTGTTTCTGGAATAGATCTTTTCCTAGTATGGGTAACTGGTCCAGAAGCAGTAGGTCTGTGTGGCTGCTGTCACTCTCCTGCCATGTGATTATCACCATCCTCTCTTTTCTAGATACCAGAAGGAGGGACTGGGGACTCAGGAAGAGAACGCACCAAGACCTTCACCTACGACTTTTCTTTTTATTCTGCTGATACAAAGAGTCCAGATTATATTTCACAAGAAATGGTATGATGTGATATTTTGCTAATCTTTATTTTGTTTTATTTTCACAGCAAGAAAAACATGCCTGCTTTATAATACTTTCAAACAGCTTGCTAATTTTTTTTCTGAATAAATTTTATATGTAATTATCCCTTTTAAACTTAGCCTTTTGGGTACTATGTAGGGCTGCTAAGGCTAAAAAGTATTCAGTTCTCAAAAGATTTTTTTTTTCATCCTTGAACATGGTGATCTTAACTTTTACTTGGTTTCCAAATGTGGACATGGCCACTGTTTTGAAGGAGCTCTAAGTATTTTAGGAGATGCTGTACAAGTATGTTTAAGGCCAGCAAATAAGTCACTTGGCTTGAGTTCTACGGTACAGCGGTTAGGGAGTAAGTTTCAAACCCAAGTCATGTTTTGTATGCTTGTGTGGAAGGGAGTCCAGAAAGAATGTCTCATCTAGAGCCTTTCCAGAATGTAAAATGAGGCTGAACTCTGTCCAAGGAACTCCCTGGTAGGCTTTTAAGGACTACAATGTAGGTGTGGTGTGGGTAGATGCGAGCAGACCCAGGTGCCTCTGGAGACCATCTTGTCGGAAACAGATTGTGACACTTCATGTGACAGAGGACAAGTGTGTTTCCCTGGGTGTGCATGTGAGGTGGGGAGCACTGGTGGAGGGGAAGAATGTGGCTTCCTTGTGGGGCCTCTTTAGGTTTGTCCCAGCTTCTCTGGCTGCACTGCCTCAGAGCTCCATGTGGTAAAACAGGGATAAGAATTCCCATCCTGCTTGCCCAGGGCTGTAATTGGTGCAGTGGCTTCTTGAAAAGTAGAGCATGAAAAACATTCTGGTCTGAAACAGCTTGAAGTGTGTATGTGCAGCAAAATTATGACATTATCTGGAAATGTGTTAGAAACTGGGAGTCTAAGGCTGGGTGTGGTGACGTGCCCCGTAATCCCAGCTCTTGGGAGGCTGTAAACAGGCGGATTACTAGTAGTCCAATCTATTAGTAGTGAGACCCTGAACACCCTGTACACCTTTCCCTTTAAGAGTCTCAAGACCTGTTCAAATCTGCTGAGCAGCAGTTTTTTTTTTTTTTTTTTTTTTTTTTTAAGCAGACTCTGCATTTTGCTTTTAAGGAGCCTGATGATTTGCATGGATCCTAACAAATTTGAGAAATGCACTTTGTTTAGAAGTGGTTTATGGGGGAGATTGGGTTTATTGGACAGTGTAAATGTGGTGTTGGAGGGACTGTATCCAGATGTTGACCCAGACATCAGGGAAAAATAGAAAGGGACAGCAGCAGTGGGAGGGGGGCTATACAGAGAGGAGGGACCATTGGGAGAGAGGGACCAGGAGGGGCAAGATGAACTACAGTTGCCTGGGTCTGCATCAGTGTCAGACACTCTGCTTTGTGTTCATTAATCCTCAGAATAACCAATGGGGGGCCAGGGAGATGGCTCAGTAGAATAAGTGCTTGCCTGGCAAGCATAAGGGCCTGAGTTCAATCCCCGATTCTGCCAAAAAAAAAAAAAAAAAAAAAAAGAATAACCAATGGGATGAATTGAAACTCCGGATTTCTTTTTATAAGAGTCTAAATAAGCTTAAATAACTTGTTCAAGTTGATGAAACTGATCAACTCTTTTTCTTTTTGTGTAGTATTAGGTCTTAAAACCAGGGCTACTCTAGCTGTATTCCATGCCATTTTTATTTATTTTTTTTTCAAATTTTCAGTCAGAGTCTTGCTAGGTTGCCCAGCCTGGCTCTGAACTTGTGATCCTCTTGCTTTAGCTTTTTCATAAGTACATGGGGAGATTGAATTGTGCACCAATGCACATGGCTTAATTGAGTTTTAATAGCAGCAGAGTTGAGACTCTGAGTGTTATGTCCAGGGTGGTTGGGGAACAACTGGGTAGTTCAATGGGCTTGGGAGAAAAAACGGGGAGCTCTAGCTATCAGATGGGTAGGGCAGCCTATGGGACAAATAGTGGTGAGTAGAGATGACTGTAGGGTCAAGGTGAATGGATTAGTCCAGCGGTGGCAAATTTATGGCACACGTCCTGCTGCCCACTGTTATCCTTGAAACCTCTAAACTGTTCACCATCCCTGGATTTGTAGCTAGGAATCTAGTAAAGGATAGAATAGTATAGATATTTAGATCTGGATTTAGCCTTCAAGATAGGAGTGGGAATTAAGTGGCAGATAGAAGGGATTTGTTGATGGGAAACCAATTTGGTGTAATGCTCTCCAGAATGTGTTCAATGCAGGAAGAATGAACATCCTCAAAGGGCTTCTTTTTTTAACTTATCAAGATGGCAGAGTTTTTCCCCCATTAATTCCATTTAACCTAAACTAAGGTCTTCTGGGGACAGCAGGCTGTACAGTGGGAGGTCCAGGGAAGCGGCAGCAGAGTATTTTGTGACAGCAGGACCTGGGACCTAGAGTGTTTGCTGACCCAGTGAACTAGTGTACAGATGGTGGCTAGTTTATTGGAACAGATGACATTTCCTGGGCTCTACTAGGAGCCAAGATCAGGGGGAGCAGGGCCAATTTTAGTTCATTTAGAAGTTAAAAATAAGTTCCCAGAGTTATAAATAGTTCTAGATGGTGTGCCTCCTTCTCGGATGAGGTCAGCTGTCATACTGTATGCTGGCAGGCATGCATGGTCTCTTCTCGGGTGCTCCAGGCTCCTCTGCTCTAGGGGGTAAATGGAAGTAATTCCATTAAATTGCAGATCTAAAAACAACCTGGAGATATGGTCCTAAACACAATTTTTTTTTTTTTTTTTGCGGAACTAGGGGTTGAACTCAGGTCCTTGTACTTGCCAGGGAAGTGCCTATTCCACTGAGTCATCTCCCCGGTCCCCTAAACACAATTCTTGTAGAAGCACTTGTTACTAAGCCAGCATGATAGGGGAAATTATCTCTCATGACAATATTTAATAAAGAGTTTATCCTTTGGCCCTAATTCTAATAGCTGTGTTATAAAAAGGGGCTTCAGAGTAAATATTGACTAAGGCACTGCTGCACTAGTGCCCCATCAGGCCCAGAAAGTGAGTGAAGGACAGCTCTGGCCCTGTATCAGGGATAGACTCTAGCTAAACCTCTTTAAACACACAACAACAACAACAGCAAAAACTCAGCTAAATGTAAATAATATGCTGAAAAAATATATCTTTCTATTACTATAGTTCAAGTTCACTTTCCCTTTATGTTAAACAAATACTAGGTAAGATGACTATTATTTTAAAATTAGAAAAAAAAAGTCAGTGAGCAATTTAAATTCCCAGTCATGAGCATTAAAGACCATTGATGTAGTAAGGTCTAATTTTTTTAATGGTTCTTCAAAACTACAAAGGGAGACTTTGATCTCGCAGGACCTGTTCCTTAATTCAACTTTGGAGAAACTGGAAACGTAAAATTTTTCATTCCAAGTGTGATGGAAGAACCTTTGCCTTAGGAGCAATTTGAGTGGTTTTCACTGAATCGGTCCTGGGTGGGAGCAAGGTGGACTTACGTGCGCCTGTTCTTCTGGGGTCCCTTGCTGACTGTGGAAACTTAAAGCTGCGACTGGACCAGGTCTGCTTTCTCAATCTCCAGACCTCAACTTTCAGGACTGTTCTAGTGTCATGTCCCCCATCCCCGCTCCTCCTGAGCCCTTGAGTCTGTCAGAAGACCTCCTGGATTAGCTTTCTGCTGAAATAGTAATGAAATGGTATGCGTGGGTTTTTACATTAGGGAAAAATTTCATTGTGAAAACCTTCTGGTTTGGTTTAAATAAAAATATTTTCCATGACTTGGCTTTCATCCAAGATCCTTCTTTTATTCTCTGAGAAGTTTCTGGAAGGCTCTTTTTCCTAACCAGTGAAATTCTAAAAGTGATACTTGACGTTTGTGTGTTGTTTTTCTGAGATTTTTTTACTCACATTCCACACACAGTGGTGAATAATGAACGTTCGTGGGTGGGCTGGAGTTCTGCTTCTCCCAGGATTCTGGCTTTTACTTCTTAATAGAGGTGTGAGGAGAAGTCCTTTCAGTTAGGACGGGGCTGTGGGATGAGGGGATGTAGTAAGGCTTTGGAATCAGTCAACCTGCCACGCTGTAGTAAGTGCCTGGCACTCTGCTTCCTTTTCAGTTGGATCTGAGGTCTAGTAGTCCCACCAACTCAGTACTGTTTTCATGAGTATCAATCTATCACACATGAAATGGCTTGCAAAGTGTCCAATAAATGTGAGCTGCAGTTAAGAGTCGGGAACTAAGTGATCAAAATTCAGGAATAAGATCGGAAAATAAGAGCTCCTAAAGCTGAAATGGGTAAAAATTGACTCAGAATGAGTGGCTTTGGCCATTTGTGAAAGTGACTCAGTTAAAATGTTGGTCTGTAAATCTTTCCCGATAAGAATGAGGAAACAAGGTTCAAGTAAGATGGCGTTCAAGAAAGCTAAAGGCCCGTTGACCATATTCTTTCTTCTTCTTTGGATGACAGCTGTATTAATTTTTTTTGTTTGACAGCTGTGTTATTAGCAGGGGCTTTTTTTTTTTTTTAATGTTCTTCTGAGATGGCCAGGTTTGTCAGTTTTGCTGAACTTTGAAACTACTTGGAAGATTTGAGACATACTGCTTCCCAGGTTCACATTCCTTAGATTCCATTTCACTGGGCTGGGTTACTGGCCAGGCTGGTGGGACTCCAGAGCTTCCCCATATGATTCTCCTGTGGAGCCAGGGTGGCAGTCACAGGTCTGGGTGACTTCCTGGTGGATCCAGCTGGCCCCCCCACTTCTTCCTGTCTCCAACCCTGAGCATGACTGCTGAGATGCCTTTGATAACTCTCTAGTTGCCAATGTTCCAACTTTTCGAGCAGAGTGATCTTTTATAAAATGTGCCCTTTGTGTGCTGTGCTTCGAAGACAGGAGGCAACACGATGACAGTGTGTTTGTCCCTTCTCAGCTGAGTATGATCAGAATGACCTTCTATATTTCTTTCACTTATATTGTCTCCCAGAGGTATTGTATTTTTATTCAAAATTATAATTGTGCAGTATTTCAGGCTGCTAAAGGTATAGTCCCCTGTGTGGAGACACAGGCCCCCATGCCCCAGCCCTTCGGGCCATGTCCCTTCCCTCACATCACCCAGAACCTCCACTCAGATGAAATGGGAACTTGGGTTGGCATGGTTCACAGAGCAGTTTCTGGGTACTATGGCTGTCAGACAGTGCCTGGAGATCCTGAAAGAGTGAAAGCTTTATCATTCAGGATGGTAAATCATTATGTTTTAAAATCATCTTCTTGACTGAGTGTCACTTTGCCTTGTTTACATTTTTATACTTTGGGAACTGTTTTGTTAAGTAGGAAAGAGGATGGTCTTGCTTAGAAAGTTTACTTTTGATTTGAAATTGAGGTGCATGTATATTCTGCTAATCACTGCTACTGTGATTTATTTATATAGCGCAATCCTTAAGAGAGGAATGTAGCATTGAAGAATATTGCCAGCCCTGTAGGGGCTTTTATTACAATCCCTAGTAACTGGATCTTTTGTGTTTATGTGTTTCAGGTTTTCAAAACCCTGGGCACAGATGTTGTGAAATCTGCATTTGAAGGTTATAATGCTTGTGTCTTTGCATATGGGCAAACTGGATCTGGAAAGTCATACACTATGATGGGAGATTCTGTACGTTGTTGATGCTGCGTGGGAAGGAATCTTATTGTTTTTCTCTAGACTGATAGAATTGTCTCTTTTATCTGCTTGGTCTGTACTAACTTGCTTTTTATGTTCTGATCATTTTTCAGTAATAAGATAAAAGTAATAAGTTGGACTAAATTTCCTTTGAGAGATTTTAAATTAGAAATTGCTTTAAGTTTATAAGCATGAATAATGGATGCAACTCCCAGTTCATTTTCCGTTTTTAAAGGCCTTATAATCTTATCAAGAAAGTATGCTGGGCCCACAAGTAATTTATTCTCCTTTTCTGCCAACACAACGGTTTGAATAAAATTACCAAAGTCTGTTCTTTTTAAAGTAATTCAGAACATTTTTCCCAAAGAAAAATGTAAAAAACAAATCTAACTTTTTGATGGAAAGGTATTACATAAATTCAGCAAATGCATTAAAAAAGTGAAGAGTTACAAAGTCCATACTAGAGTTACATGGTTATAATATGTACAGCTTAGTGGTTAGTAAATTAACAGGCATTAACGTGACACTCATCCCAAAGTATGGAGAACTCAGAGGTAAACTTTACTACAGAACTTCACCATGTTCTGTGTTTTCTCCAAATTTAGAGGGTGCCTGTGTGTTTTATTTTTCTTAAGTGAGAGTGAGCGCAGTATGCAGTGGCTGGCTGGCCTGCAGTGTATTCAGCCACTGTGGCCTGCCCGCCAGCAGATGCGGCGGTGTTCTTCTGGCTGCAGGCTTGCTGGCTCACTGCAGTAGCGTGGTAGAGGAGAGCAGGACTTCCAGCTGGAGTCACCTCTGGGCACAGAACCTGACATCCTCAGCCCAGCCATTTCTGTATACCAGAGGTCTGGCAGTGTTGTGCTGTACACTCTCCATGCTGAAAAATCAGGAAAAATGAGGAAGAGTGGATCATTTCAAGAGTTCTGTGTTTGCCTTTCATCATTACTTTTCTTACTCTCCTACCACTGTGCCTTTGGAAACAAGTTCTCTAAAACTGAAATATGTTCGTTGATTCCCTAGAAAGTATTTATGTAAGTCAAACATTTATAAAGTACTTGTAAATTATAAGTGTGTTTCTCTGGCCTTAATAATAATCCTTGGGTATTATTTATTTTGGAATAAGGAAAATATGGTGAAAGGCTGTTTTCCCTGATAGGAATTTGCACTGATTAAATAGTACAAAGAATAAAAAAAAAAAAAAATCCTGAACCAATGATTTTAGTTTTATTCTTTGGGTGAGAAGTTGGGTGATAGTAGTCATGGGGTTGGAGGTTTTACAGTTTTGGTTTCCTGATGAGAACATTATGCCTGATCTTCAGTATCACTCTGAGGTTCACCAGCCTGTTGTTGCTGAATGAGACATGTTTAGTAACTATGACACTGCCACTGCATAATTGATACGATGTACTATAAAAATCTTCCTTTCTTGGAAGTGCAGTGTAAGGAGTCCTATATCAAAAGGAGGGATAGGGGGCTGGTGAGATGGCTCGGTGGTCTAAAGCACCTACTTAGAACAAGCTAAGCTAAGCAGAGCACAGGGACCCCAGTTCAATCCCCCAGCAGCGCATGCCAGCCAGGCCCGCCCCCTGGTGGGCTGAGCTGGCCACACACACACAAAATAAATAAATAAATATTTAAAAAAAAAAAAAAAAAAAGGAGGGATGTATCAGTTTAACGTGGCCCTGTTACCTAAGTTCCATGACAGTTATTAGTTGTGTTAAGGACTTACAAAGATTTTTCTTAGTGTTCCTTTTTCTCCTAGGGTACATCTTCTCTTCTTTAGTCCTTCAGTCAAATAGTTTAAACATTTACTCTACAGCCAGAGACTATTTTGTCTACTAGCTGGAGCATAAGTCTTGGTATCTTTACAAGCCATGATTTAGCTGAACAACAGCTCACAGTCATATTTTACCCAAGTCCAAGTATGTAGAAGTGAGAAAGATGCATCCTCTCACATCAGAGAGGAGGAGGTTATCCTGGTGGAAGGACTGGCATTGTCAGGCCCCTTGTGTCACCGTCCTCCCTAGCAACATGCACAATCACCACTTGATTTCATTTCCAGTGACAGCTGCTGCACTCCTTTTCCTTACAGGGTGATTTGGGCTTAATACCGCGGATCTGTGAAGGGCTCTTCAGTCGGATAAATGAAACCACCCGATGGGATGCTGCATCCTTTCGCACTGAAGTGAGGTAGGACCTATGGTCGGGCAGGTGCGAGCGTGGAAGGGAACCCAGTGAACACAGGCCCTGTGTGGGGCACACAGCTGCCTGGGAGGGGTGAGGCATCTAGGTTCCCGAGCAGTGTCTGCCTTTTCCTCTTCTGTATTTATGGTGTTGGGAGTAATGTTGAAAACACTGGGTTTGCAATGACTTTCTTGGGTACAATTTGGATGGGAAATAACAGCTTGGTAAGAAATGGTAACATTTAATGTTTGTCTCAAATGGAGTGAGCCCTTGACTTCTATGAGTATACCAATTACTTGCCTCTTTCCTTTGGGTGAGCAAGGGTTGTGTTAGTTTTTGTGTTGGGAGGATCAGTATAAATCTAGCCTGTAAAACGTCTGGCTGTTCTTTGAAGTAAACTTGTGTGGGCAGCCAGTCTTTTAAGTGGTTTTGAAGATTAATCTGTCAGTTTCTGCTTCTCACTGCTGTGTGGCTTCAGTGGCTGTGTGGCCTTTGGACCTACGCCTTGTCTATCTGACCTATAAAATGAGGCTAATAGAAGTCCTGGCAGTGGATTGCATGAAATACTCTAAAGTGCTGAGTATCGTCTGTGGTACAGCCACTGCCCGTACATGTGCGTGGCTGTTGTTGCTGTTATTGTTATTAGGGTCTCAACGTTCTGCTTCTGAATTCAGTTCTGTTTACAATTTGTAGCTATTTAGAAATTTACAATGAACATGTGAGAGACCTCCTTAGGCGAAAGTCATCTAAAACCTTCAATTTGAGAGTCCGAGAGCATCCAAAGGAAGGACCTTACGTCGAGGGTAAGAGTGAATATTTCACAGCCTTATCCTGTGGGGATTTGTGTCAATAGAAAGCTTTCAAAAAGAAGAAAGAAAAAAAAAAAAAAAAAGAACAAAACAAAACAAAAAACCAGTAGTATAATGGGGAGACTTTAAAAATTTCCTTTCAGAATTTTATTATAGTAAAAATGGCATACGCTGTCATGGCACAGCGTTCACTTATGAATTCATGCCTTATTAGGTGTTCGCTGACTTTTGTGAGCCTCGCCAGAGATTTCTCCTGGCTTTATGAAATCTCTGGCGATGTGTTTTTTGTTGTTCTCAGGCAAGGTAAGTATGTTTGTACCTGTCTCTTTAAGGGCATTACATTTTAGCGGTGTAATGTTACTGATAATACATTGCAAAAAAATTATTCTAGAGCTCTTGTGTGTTAAGGAGAATGTACAGAATCTCCTCTCAGTGGATAGATTGCAGTAGATTAATTGTGCACAGTCCTTTGTGGGGAGCACCACACACAGTGATAGTAAACAATTGGCCCTTGCTAATTGTTCAAATAATAGGCTGGGTTTTTGGTGATCTTTCTGATGAAGCTGATCTCTATTCTGCAGAGAGAGCTGAGCGCTGGGTGGTTAGCAGGAGCTGCACATGGAGAACATGCTTTCTGGGGCTTCGTGTTTTTCATGTGTGTTTCATTGGGGACAAACCTGTGCATCTTTTAGGCTGCCTTTTTTTTTTTTAACCTTAAGAAATCAGGTATGCCAGTAAAGTCCCAACTGTATTTAATTTTTATTTGTAGATTTTTCTTTCTGCATTTAAAGTAAGGTGTCTAATTGCATAGTTGTTTGGGGGGCATTATTGTTAATAGATTTTCACCTAACATCATGTGCCCTCATGTTTGCCTTTTAATTGGTTTATCAAATGTTAGAACATGTAAGACTGGTGTGTGAAGAGACACAATAATCCACAGGGTAAACCATCTAGAATCTGACCTAGATACTATTAAGCTTTTATTCAAATGTTGGGAGAATATGGATTTTTACATTTTCTGGGACAAAAGTAAATTGGTATCATTGCTTAGATTTTGCACCAGGAAAAACAGTAGTTGGTTCAAGATTTAAATGTAAAAAAATGAAATAAACTGACCAGAAGACCTCTCAGGAGGCTGGGGAGACAGCTTAGGGACATAAGCACCTCCCTGGCAAGTACAAGGTCCTGAGTTTGAACCCTGATACAAAAGAATAAAAAAAAGATGCCACAAGTTAAGTTTTCCCAGAAACTTAAATGACCAAAGGTTTTTAAAAGCCTACTTAAAAACCTAGCAGCCATAAAAGAAGGTAAATTTGAACTGGTTGAAACAACAACAAAAAGCCCATACAAAACTTGACAGAAACATTGTAAAAAAAGGTAAAAGCTTAATTACAAAGTGGGGAAATATTTTGAATGTTGTTTCAGACAAAGGGCTAATTTCCCTAATATATAACGGGCTTTTAGGAATGAATAAGGACTGGTGGGACCTGGCTGGTGGGATGATGGGGCGTTGCTGAGCGTGATGGCTCCCATCTGTAATCCCACCACTGGTAAGCCTGAAAACAGGAGGATCACTATGAGTCTGAGCTGTGTAGTGATACCCTGTACCAAATACATAAAAATAAATCAGTAAATAAATAAATAAGGACTGATCAGGAAACCAAATAGAAAAATGGACAAAGAGTATGACTACATCATTTATGAAAATGGAATTACTGGTGATTTTTAAAAGGAAGACTCAAAAATAATAAAAACACAAGCAAAATAAAAGTGCCTCAAGGTGATGTTTGCCACCCTGCTTTGGTGGGGATGAGTCCTTGGGGTAAGACAGTGGTGGGAGGTTAGCATTTGTATTACTCCTGCTGGTTGTAATTTGCCCTCCATGGAGGACAATTTTGCAGTGTATATTAACATTTCAAATGTGTTTCATTTTAGCACTTCCACCTCAAATAATTTTTTTCCTGTGGAAACATTCCCAAACACTTGAAAAGACCTGTGTGGACAATTATTTGTAGCTAGAAGCATTGTTATTAGAAACAAAACTGGAAACAACTTCAGTAGTCTCAATAGGAGACTGGTTAAGTCCTTTATGGTGCATCCATACAATTGAAGGCTCTGTAGTCTGAAAAATGAATGAGAAGTCCTCTTACGTGATACACAGTATTCCTTTTGGTTGGTTGGCTGATTAATTAGGAGTGATGGGGATATAGCCCAGCTTGTGCATGCTGACAAGCACTCTGTCACAGAGCTACACTCTCAGTAATATATCACTGCTTTGAAAAAACAAGCAAGGTACACAATAATGTTTACAGCATGTGTGTTCCTTTTAGTTTTTGGTGGTGGTTGTGATGGGGGTGGGGGTGCTGGTGCTGGCCATTGAAATCAGGGCCTTGAATGCCTAGATCTCAGGCAAGGTGTGAGCTCTGCTGCTGAGCTTCATTCCCAGTTTAAGGTGCTACCCACCATTTGTATAAGAAGCAAAAACCTTGTTTTGCGTATATGCCATTCCCTCTGCCTGTATTGGTTATTTTTACAAGGAATGCAGGTACTGACAATACTTGAAGGAGGTACTGCTTCACAGAAGGTGGGTAACATAGCTAGCTGTGCCGAAATAGTCTGAAATAAACCACTTAAAGGAAAGAAAGGTTTATTTTGGCTTGTGGCTTCTGAGCTTTCCGTCCATGGTCTTCTGGCTGTGTTGCCTTTAGGGTAGGGTGAGAACTGTGGTGGAAGGGCTGGAGAGAGGAAAGCTAGCCTCAGGGCTGCTGACAAGCAGAGACAGGAAGAGCTTGTGTTTCTGGCTTCCTGCTCTTCCTACTTTTGTTTCCCCTGGGCTCCTTATAGCTATTGGGTGTTGCCTCCTGCATGGGGCCAGGTCTTCCCTCTCAGTGTGCTGGCCCACATGCCTGTAGCCTCTTGGAACACCCTCACAGGCATGTGTAGAAGTGTATTTTTGCTAATTTCATAGCATGTCTGAATCTAGCAAAGTTGATAAGACTATCACACAAGGGAAAAGAGAGGCTGTAGGAGAGGAGTAGAAGCCCCCTTACACAGTGGGGCTTTAGACTTAGAGGTAAATGAATGCTCCAAAAATCTTTTCTTCTTTTCTGGCACCAGAGATTGAACCTTGGCTTTACCCATGCTAGGTAAGCTTACCATGTACTAGCCTTAAACTTTTGATCTTCATGACTCAGCTGTGTGAGAAGGTGGAATTACTGGTGTACTGCAATATTCCTGGCTCTCAAGAATTTTTAAAGAATGCTTTAGCCAAATGTGCAGCATCCCTGTAACTGTACTGTGCTGAATGTTGAGGTAGGGAATTCCAAGTTCAAGCCCAGACTGGACTCCAGTACCTTAGCACAACCCTGTCTCAAAATAAAAATTAAAATTAAAAAAGGGCTAAGAATGTAGCTCAGTGCAAAAGCCCTGGCTTTACCTACTGGTATGGGGTGGGGTAGTGCTTTTAGGTTTTGTATAAAAGTAGTGCATTTTCATTACTTATCTTCTTTGTACTGTGATTAATGCTGAGAGGTTGGGGTTTATACCTAGCGTCTATCCTAAATACACTATCTATGTAGCTGTACATTATCAGATGAGATAACTAAGGCCCAAGGCCCTGTTGTTGCAACTGGAGTCTGTTATTGTATATACCACCACCCTACAGAAACAAGTGAAGTCTTTAGACATTTAGCAGATTTATAGAGAATAGTTCATGCATTATTTTTTCAAGACAAATTTCTTACTTAAATTTACAATGTAATGGGAAAATTTCTTCACTCCTTCCTTTTTTTTTATCTTCCAGATTTATCCAAACATTTAGTACAGAATTATGGTGACGTGGAGGAACTGATGGATGCAGGAAATATCAACCGGACTACAGCAGCGACTGGAATGAATGACGTCAGTAGCAGGTCTCATGCTATCTTCACCATCAAGTTCACTCAGGTAGGGCAGCTGGGGTGAGGGGCACGCCAGCTCCATCCCTGCAGTCCTTACTTCCTGAGTAGCACCAGCTGAGGGCTCAGCATTGTTGAACTAGGCTTGGCAGCAAGCAAAAGTGACTGGCTGTCATTTTCTTGTTAATTAGGGCAGAACATGTGCTGTGTGCAGATTTTCATGATGGTTATTGTCATGGTAATTTTAAATGTCTTGATATACATCCTTCAGAAATATTTAGCAGGCTTCCGCCTTGTATTAGACATTAAAAAAACCAAAAACTAAAAATCTACCTCTGTGCCTAATTAAGTAAGGGTATTCACTGTCATAAGCCTTGTGGGATACAGTGGATTGTGAGGCAAACTAGCAGGGGCCAAGGTGAGGGGTCTGTGCAGTATGTTGTCGCTGCGTGGAGCTCACCCCACAGTAGGGGTTGTGATTTATTAGGATGGCATTACAGGCATGTACAAGTTCTTATGTAAGAATTTAATATGCTCAAACAATACAGACATCTTAAACTTGACTGGACGTGGTCAAGGGCACAGAGGAGTAGAACCCACAAATACAAAAAGGAGGCTCCTGTCAGGCCATAGCATGAGTTAGGCATTCAGGGGCACCCTTGCCCACTTTGACTGTTGAACACATCAGCAACGACAGTACTGCGTTTTATTCATGAGGAGGCTCAGAGAGGACAATGGAAGCTTTCTCTAAGGTCAATCAGAATGCTCCTCTGTACATTCCCACAGCTTTACTTTTTGGTATTAAAGTAAAAAGTAAACTTTGCTTTGACTTAGGCACACTTACCAGTTTTCCTCCTGCTTTCTGGTGAATTCCTGACCAGGATGTTAGTTTCTGGTTTCTAAGAGACTTACATTTTTAGTAATTTTTTTTTTTTTTTTTTTTTTTACCCCCAAGTATTGGTTCAAAATATAAAATGAATTAAAAGTCTGTGGAAAAGTAAGATATAGATAACATTCAAAAGCAAAGAAAATCCTATTTAGTGTTTCATTTTTTTTTTTTTTAAAGTGAGACAAAAGATTTTAACTTTGAATAATGGTAAAGTGATTTTTAGGAAATTGTCTGCATTTGTTTTATTTTGAAGAGCCTTTGTGCTGGAATGCCCAAGACTGTAGGTGAGAACGAAGTGAACCGCTTGTTTGCTTATGCTTTGTTGTCTTGAGTGGCCCTTAGCGCCTGGTTCCATATCCGGCCGTGCTCTGGCTCAGATGGGTGCTGTTGACAGTGACAGAGAATTTCAGAAGTGGAGTGGTCCTTCAGAAGGCCTGAGAATCACACATGGCAGGTTTCTATTGTGTTGAATTTAATCTTGGAAGTTTTTATAATCAATATGAAGGACAATATAATACCAAAATGAAAAAGATCCATCCTGAGACATCTCAGCAAGGAATAGAAGATAATTAGAATTTGCCTCATAAACAACATGAGGGCTCTGTGTACCCCTTCAATTTTACTGTTATATTTTTACTACAGGCGAAGTTTGATTCTGAAATGCCATGTGAAACCGTGAGTAAGATCCACTTAGTTGATCTTGCTGGAAGTGAGCGTGCGGATGCCACTGGTGCCACGGGGGTCCGGCTCAAGGAAGGAGGGAACATTAACAAGTCCCTCGTGACTCTGGGAAATGTCATTTCTGCCTTAGGTATGTGGTGGCCTCCCACAACTGCTTTTTCCTGGAGGTATCGTATTAGCATAAACCAATTATGTTTAATGTTTCTCTTGTAAATAGGGAACAATATCATCAGGGGTTTTTGAAGCAAAGTTGGACGGGAAAGGAAACCTTTAATAATTATCTTTTCTTCCTTTTTGTTTCCTCCTTCTCTATAGCTGATTTATCTCAGGATGCAACAAACCCTCTTGTAAAGAAGAAGCAAGTTTTTGTGCCTTACAGGGATTCTGTTTTGACTTGGTTATTGAAAGATAGCCTTGGAGGAAACTCTAAAACTATCATGATTGCCAGTAAGAGTTCTCAGTTATTTTCCTAAGCATCCAATGTTTCCTGTGAATTAGCTGTAAATATTTAAGTTTAAAGTGTCTCATTAGGATATAGCACCTTTTATTTCTTCAAGATATAATGGCTTGTCTAGTCACTCAGCATATGCAGTTTGCAGCTTGTGCCATTAGCTGTTACATAGCCCTTGCCCTGTTGCCAAAGCTGTGATCACATGCAGAGGTGTGCATTTTTCTTTGTGTGAAGCTGTGGTAGAGACACCTGGCTTCACTGCCTCATAGGACAAAGTTGTTATAGGAACATGAGTGAAAACCCCACTGTTTTTCTACTTAAAGCAGTAGATGTGGAATTTAAAGTAAAATTGGACTGAGCAAAACAAATAAGTAGTGATGAATAATATAGTTGATTTACAAATTTTGACTAACAGAAGAAGAGTAAAATAGAAAGTGCAGATAATTATTGGTGAGCACTCAGGACTTCTCCAGCACTCACCCCACTCTTTCTTCCTGTCTGGGCTTTTTCCTCTTGTCTCCTGTCCCTCTAGTACCCATGCCATGTGGTTAACTAGGAGGCTGGGATCTTTCCTGTGGCACAAGCTCCATTTGAAATTGTGACTCCCTCCAACCTAGAAGTTTGGTGGTGGTAGTGGGGGTGAGATTCAAACCTTCCCAAAGGAAAGAATTAATGAGTCTATTGACACTTTTAAAAATTGTCATGCTCTAGATTTTCACAGATGGTAAGCTTGGCCTGAAATTTTAAAAGTATTTTAATTCTTGCCTAATGTAGAGAAGTACAAATAGTCTTGAAATCCTCTTTTTATATTTGGAACTAAGAAAACTCCTTAACTAGAGTGGGGTGTTTCATATCTTATTTTAAACTTGGTTAGGTGGTTGGCTCTTGACTTGAGGTAAGCAGAAAAACATCCAGTTTGGTATAGCGAATACACTTTCCTGTAAGTCTTAGAAAAATTTTAATATTCATTACTGTTGCAATGAATATTTAGTTTATCCAATGACCTGGGGTTAATCTGACTTTTAAATTATAAACCAACTTTGTGTTAAATGAAACATGGAGTGCTAGATAAATGATTTTTTGCATTCATTCTTCACAGCCATTTCACCTGCTGATGTCAATTATGGAGAAACCCTAAGTACTCTTCGCTATGCAAATAGAGCCAAAAACATCATCAACAAGCCTACCATTAACGAGGATGCCAACGTCAAACTTATCCGTGAGCTGCGAGCTGAAATCGCCAGGCTGAAAACACTGCTTGCTCAAGGGAATCAGGTTGGATTTTTCTAAGATTCATGGATAATTTTCTCGAGTAACGGCATCTATTTCTTGATCTTAATGAGACAATTATCTCATGGTATTGATTTGAGTAAATAAGTGCTAAGTAAAGCTTGGAATGAGTTAACCAGTCTCTCCTTTACATAAGCCTTCAGCTGGCCTTTGCATTCATTATGTGTTCTGCAAGGAAGATTTTATCCACTAAACCTGAAATGATTAACTATCTAATAGTTATCAATTATGAATAGAAATTTAGCTCGCGTAGGATTAGCAGCATAATCTCCATCAGTGGAAAGAAATTGAGATGCTCAGAGTAATATTTAAAATTCTACCCATGCATTTTATGGGGCTTTAAAATGTGTTTTAATGGAATGAAAGGTTTCTTTGACTATCTGTCTGAATCTCTAAATCGTCCATCACGGCAGCGCTTGGTACCTTAGCACACGTAAGGTGATTCCCTTGGCCTGGCTCTCATGCTTTCCTTGCGGTCCAATTAGATTATTGAGGTGCCTTTCTTCAGGATCATTTGGCATACTAGAGAAAAAGCCTGGTCATTTTGTGATTGTTTTTTCATAGTTATAGTGTGTACATACAGTTATGTTCTGTGTACATAGTGTATATCTAGTTTTGGTAGGGGTGGAAGAGAGACTGCCTTAAAAGAGAATCAAGAATACCTTTTAAACAGGTGAAGTTAGATTGGAGTTGGAAATAAAGATATAGCTTGTCATGTTTTTGTAACCCATGAGTATGATTTAAGTGTATCGCTGAAAGAAAGACCTCTAAGTACAGAGTAGTTTCTAGAGCATTGCTTTCCACGTAGGCATCTGTGGCACTTGAAGCTCTTAACATCCCATAAGTGGTTTGGTCTATGAAAATATTGACAAGAAAAGAAACTTCCTTTAGTCTCCTGCATCCTGAAATATGCTTGGCCATCCTTTCTGGCATGATGGCAGATAGTAATCAGTAGGAATCCTTCATTGTGCTTAAAATGTTTCCAAACCTTTTATCTATGATGTGGGGATTCCTGGATGTGAAAATTGTCGTTAGCACGGATAGTGAGCTGCATGAGATGTTGCTGACATAAGTTGAACTCAAGAATTAGTTTTATTTATACATTTGGCTACTGGGATCCTTTTCTTTTTTTTTTTTTTTTTTTTTTTTGAGCGGGCCCAGAGATTGAACTCAGGCCCTTGTGCTTGCCAGGTAAGTGCTTATTCACTGAGCCATCTCCCCAGCTCCTGGGATCCTTTTTCAATGTTTTAAAAACATTGTCTTAAACATTTAAAGATTATTTCATAGTATCATTTGAAGTGTTATATGTGAGGAGAATATTTGGGAAATTGTAGGTATGGCATGTTGTGCTTAATCTTTTCTGAGGTTAAGAGAGTGATGGGAAAACCGGACACCAATCTTCTTCAGCTCTGCTGAGAGAAGCCTCATCACACAGCCAGAAAAGCTTTAATTTATTAAAACTTTTGCAAATTCTCTTAGATGTGCCACCATTTGGCCTTGCATTTTCTGATCTTTTTTCTGCTGTACTGACCTAACACTACTGCTCTAGTAGAGGCCGTATTCTTGTTAATGTTGTTTTGGGGTGAAGATGGTAAGGTTTTAAACATATAATTCCCTGAAGAATTTAACATTTATACCATAATGAATGTGGGCATTGAATTTAAAATGATTTATCTTACTCTGAAGCTATAAATTATTGTGAGACAATAATAGAGGCTTGTCCTAAATTAATTACATTTGCAATGCTTAATGAAATAAGCAGGTGTTCTTAAATGCTCATTAAAAATCTCTGTATAAATCTTACTGGAGACATTGCTGTATTCATGGAATATTCTCTGCCAGCTACTGCACTGGTGCATTGAGAATGTTGTGCAGAGTACCATTTCTAGAATTATTTATTTTAGCACAGCTAAATGAAAGTCAGCTCTTTTAATAATTTTATGTATTTGTCATTGGAAATGGTCACTCATCAGAGTTTTAAAAGCACAGTTTTACAAAGCAGAAGATTCTGACATGTATTTGCTCTTTCCATTGTATAAATGTAGATATGATAGTTTTTATATATATTTATATTAAATCACTATCAAAGTGTTATATAATTATACAGAAAATGGTATTATTCTGTACTTTGCACAAGTCCAATTCACCCCTCTACCCAGATCCCACCTTAACAAAGTGAGTATCACCAGCATCCCAGGAGCTGCTCTTAGAGCTCCCGTCCAGGTCCACGAAGTTCTTGCCCTTTTTGTCAGTGGTATCACTTTCTTGACTTGAAGAGGCAAGACCTTGTATCTGTGAGTTTATCCACATTGCTGCTTCACGTAGTTGTTGGTCTCTGCCCCCAGTGCTGTTTTGTATACCATCACACATACCTGTCCAAGTCCACCTATCCATTCTACTTGTGAGTGACACATTCCTGTTTGTGACTGTTCATGCTGCCAGTGACTTTCTTCTGCACAGCTTTCAGTGGCTGCACTGGTGTGATTCTGTCAGTCTTTGCCTAAGAGTGGACTTGGTGGTCAGAAGGTGTGTGTACATTAAGCTTTAATAGATATAGCCGGACGGTTGTTAGAAGTGCTTATACCTATTTCTGCTCCACCCCCAATATATGGTGGTGCCAGTTTTAGTTGCTGCAGATCTTTGCTTATGCTTGGTTTTATCTGTCCATTTTTCATTGTAACCATATTGACAAGTATATACCACTATTACAGGATGATTTTACTTTGTACTTTCAGAGGATTAATGAACCTGAACATTTGAATAGCCTCTCTTATCAAGTATTTATTCTTTTTTATATTTTGATTCTTTTTTTGATATTTCTGCTTTTATTTTGGAAGAGAGAATATCTTTTTTTATTTTTATTTTTTTTTATTTTTTTGACAACTCATACAGAATTTTACTTAACAAAGTAATATGAATTTCACCGTATTTGTTGTAATACATGGTATTGTCTTACAACCAGTTATTCATATTACTAGATATATACACATAAAATTGGAAGAAGAAAAAAACTGGAGCAGTGTATAAGAAATTAAGAAAAGAAAAAGTACAAACAATTGAAAAAAAGGAGGCGAAGCTAATTAGAGCATTGACTGCTTCTTTCCATTTCCATTTTTTTCCTAATTTTTATTTATTTATTTATTTATTTGTCCTGTCAGAGGTAAATATTCTATTGGCATCTAAATACTATAAGTGTTTGAATTCAACTAAACATCTAACACTGTCTAGCAGTCTATACTATTAGTGGGTCATCCTCAGAAGTTATTGACGTGAGCCTTTTACAGCTCATCATATTAATATGGATTTACTTTATATACCTCATTTTTATACTTTTCTACTGGATGGTTAAGACCAAGATATAGAAAGACCTATATACCCAGAAATGTAACTTTTGTATCTGATAAGGTCAGCCAAGTACTCTCAGGATTTATCCTGTAGCCCTGTACCACCTTTTGTACATCCTTTTGTCAGTGTCTGACATGAGGATGAGTCACGGCCATTGCTTGACCAATTTGCTCTCTGTGAAAGCTTGAGAAAATGATTTTTCTCTCCATGTGACTCTCCCCAGGCTCACTTTAGATCCTTGAATACATTTCTCTGTGGCTCCATAATCTTCTTTTTTTTTTTTTTTTTAAAAAAATTTATTTATTTGTGTGTGTGTGTGTGTGTGTGGCCAGCTCAGCCCACCAGGGGGCGGGGCTGGCTGGCATGGTGCTGGGGGGTTGAACCGCGGTCCCTGTGCTTTACTAAGCTTGTTCTAAGTAGGTGCTTTAGACCACTGAGCCGTCTCACCAGCCCTTCATAATCTTCTTGATCAGAAAATTTGGAGCACAACTGAGTTACATCTTGTTACAGTACAGGTTCTCCTATGTCCTGAGTCTTCACTGACCTTGAAAGGCTAGGGCCAAAATGTTGGCCAATCATGCAGCCCTTCCTTTTTGGAAGAGAGAATGTCTTGACTTTTATCTCTCTTGACTTATTGGGAGACAGATGAATTAAACAATACAGAAATGAAATAAATTACAGAAGTTAAGCAGTGAAGAAGATACTGAGGAAGAAAAGATGAAAGTAGAATGAATTCCTGATTTTTTTCAGCTGGGACTAACAAATCTTAAATAACACAAGTATCCCTGTATAGAAACTTTTAAGATAGATGCATTGAGATAGTGTCACAAAGTAGAACTCTCTTATTTGGTGTTTGTAAGAATGGGTGAAGGCTTCTGGTGATCCACAGGGAGAGAAAGTGATGCAGACACAACAGTATATGAGCTTAAGTGATGATCCCCTTGTTATGACAGAGTGCAGTTCTCAAAATCAAAAGACTTCAACTTTCATAAGGGGAAGCAACAAAATTATTAAAAATAGCAGGCTATAGAGTGATACACATTTGCCACAGGAAACTTTAGTTTTCTTTTTCATTCTGTGAGCAGGGCTGTACAGAAATAAGTGAGGATGTGACATACGCACATTGTAGCATGGGGGATACTCAGTAACATACAAAGTAGGGCTAGGGTTTCAGTTCATGAACAAAAGACAAATTTCCCTATTTAAAAAAATCTACAAAAACATAAAATCATCATAACCGAGGACAGTTAGGGTGGCCTGTCAACTTGGTTGACTTTAGGATCCACCTTGGCTGAGTCTGGGTAGGTCATAAAGACATGGTCTTGGGGTCTGTTTCTGGTCCCTTGCTCTTTCCTCCTTGCTACTTTTCTCCTGCTCTATTTCCTGGCTGCCACAAACTAAGCAGTTTTGCTGTACCATGCCCTTCTGTCTGTTAATGTTTTGGAGTCGGCTGACAGTGGACTGGATTCCCTTGAAATATAAGCCTAACTAAACCTTTCTTTCATTTTTAGTTGTGAATGTTGGATATTGTGTCCAGAAAGTGTGATTTGGTAGTAGAGCCATTGCTTGGCTGTACCTGAATTGCTTTTCAGGTAGTTTGGAAAGGTTTGGAGGTATGGGCTAGAGAAACTTAAGAATACTGCAGAGGCAGCTAAGTGATACAGGTCCAAGCTTAGAAGACCTGAATGCTATCAGGAATACAGAGAGTAAAGGACAGGTTCAAGAGTTTTAGTAGGGGACAAGGAGTTCATTGGTAGTTGGACTTTAGGTCATTTGTGTCAGGAAGAAAATTTGTATTTTGTCCATGTTCTGAGACTTTGTGGGAGACTGTGTTGGAGATTAAGGACAGTGAACTAAGAGCTGGTAGATGAAATTTCAGAGCAGCCCAATGTTTGGGCTGTCACATGGGTACTTCTGGTGGCTTTTAGCCAGGTTTATAGTGAGAATTGGAGACAGAAAGGAAGAGCAGAGAAAATTGGAAAAATTAACTTTATCATGTGTAAAGTTGGAACCAAAGGAGATATGATTGCTAAAGAGATTAGCACCATTAAAAAGAAGCCAAGTGTTTTGCAGAGGGACAAGACAAAAGATGCCTGGAGAGCAGCTCAAAAATCATGAAGACTCGAGTCCATCTACTGAAAACACAAAAGTTTAAAAGTGTCAGTCTTATTCGAGAGCAGAGTCCTTGGGACATCTGCTTGAGAAGGGCAGCCCAGGGGATTGGTTCCCTGGGATTCATTTCACTGTACTCAGTCCTCCGGGCACTCAGAGGCTGCTTTATCTGTTATCCAGGTGGGCCCTGCTACTGATTGAGTTGGCAGCCAACCTTGGCATTGCCCACATGATACTAATTTTACTGTCATGTGAAATGCAAGTGTTGTGATGCTAGGAAGTATTTCAGCCACATTTCAACAGCCTGGGAGTCCAGGCAAGAGGTCCCTGTGAGGCAGTGTGCGAAGCTGTAGGAATGAAGCTAAAGGTTCAGGGAGACCCCAGGGAGTTGGAGGTGCCCGGAAAATGGAACATCTGCTGAGAAAAGCTGTAGTCCAAGAGTGGAGCCTGAATTGAAGAGAAAGGTGTATGGGCTGCACTCAACATGATCATAGGGAGGGCTGCCCAAACCCTCTGGAGCTCACGTTTTACTCCTTTGTGCTCTGAATGTAAATGTGAGATTTACATGTTTGCCCTGCTGGATTTTAGTCTTGCATTGATCCATTTATTTTCTGTCTCCTTCATCTCTTTTAAGATGGGAATGTTTCTCCTGTGGTATTGTACCTTTTTTTTTTTTTTTTTTTAAGTTTTACAAAGGTTCACAGAAAGCTTGCCTTGATTATCAAAATAATCTTGAACTTCTAAAAAATGATGAACTGTTGTTGAGAATGATTGATTGCATTTCTGATGGTATGAGAAATATTGTCTTAAATTAGTTGGAATTATTAACTTACTGACTTTGGTCATTGACATAATTTGATCATTAAGTGTGGCCTAAGGAGATGCGTTTGAGTATGAAGTTGACAAAGGGTAGAATGTGGAAAGGCAGGGTGGAATGTCAACTTGATTGGCTTTGGAATCTACCCAGACTATTGGTAGAGCACACTTTTGGGTGCATCTGTGTGGGTCATGGAGGTGTGGTCTTGGGATCTGTGTCTGGCGTTTCATACTTTGCTTTGTGGTATTGGCCCTCTGCTCTGATTGCCAGTCTCCATGAACCACGCAGCTTTGCTGCACCATGCCCTTCTGCCATAATGATCCTTTCTTGGAGCCTGCTGAGCATGGACACGATTGTCTTAAAATATGATCAGATTAAACCTCTCTTCTATTAATTGTGGTTGTCAGGTATTTCATCCCACAACAGGAAAGTTGACCAAGACACAGCCCAACAGAGAAGTGAAGTAAGAGTATGGCTCTGACCAATGAACAAACACTTGTGTTTCCTCACCAGCCAACTCTTCTCTCTGTTGTGCACATAGGCATTTAACAGAACCTAGGAAGACCACCTTGTGTATATATTTGTTTGAATAGAAATTGGATAATTAAACAGTAATGAAAACTGTGCTAGAACTTCTGGGCAGGACAACTTGACCATTAAAAAAGAATCGTACATAGAGAGGACTCACAAATCTCCTTCAGGATTTTATGATGTAGCTGTGTATACTATAAGCAGTTGGTGCAGGAATAGTCATTCTAGCATTGTGAATAAAGCAAGAAATTGGGAAGCAAAACTGTATTGATGTTAATAGGAGAGTACAAAGGTAAATTATAGACTTTATAGTGTGATATTGCATTTTAACTGAATGTTCTCTCTTGTCAATTGAAAAAGCAATAGTCAAAGTAGTGTTTTTTCTTTTACATATGTTTAGAAGCACAACAAAAACATGTTTGCTTATGAGTAGAATAAGTGCAGGTTTTCAGACAAATTAGAGAAAGTGGCTGCTGGTAGGTGGGGAGGGATCTCTTCTCATAGCTTTCTTCAGGGGATGTCTCAGGGAGAAAGGTAGTAAGAACTGAAATTTTCTGAGTGCAATTGGAGCCCAGGCCTGGTTCCACTTTCCTCTTCTGTCCACTTGTCACTCTCTGTTCTAACCTGATTTCATGTAGGTCTTTGTATTCCTACAGCCTGGGTAAGGAAATGGACAGATAGATGTAGTACACCATGCCAGATGCTAAATTCCACCCAACAGTGCAGGTACTTTCCTTTGCATGTTTCACTGTGGATACTTCTCACAAGCCATGGTTGAGCAAGACTTAGGCATCTTGACTTCTGGATTTTGCATATTCAGTATGTTCAAATAGATGAGTCTTTAGGACCAAGGGATTTAGGTTGTTTTTGATTTTGTGTTGGTAATGTAAGCTCCAGTTGCAGATATTGTGAGATATGTATCCTATGAACTAGAGATTTGGTGACAGGTGATACTTACGGGGAGGTGTGGCATTACTTTTCACCACTAACAGTTTTTGTGGAAATTTGTTAACTTATTGAACTCATAAGAAAATCCTTATTGTACTTTATTGCTGTTTATTAGTTGCTGCTGTTTACTAATTGCTACTGTCTGTTGTGGTTTAAATTCCAGATTGCCCTCCTAGACTCCCCCACAGCTTTAAGTATGGAGGAAAAACTTCAGCAGAATGAAGCAAGAGTAAGTGGAAGTTTGACTTGTTATTTTTCTTTTTTACTTATTAGTATGTGTTTGCAGCATGCCATGATTACATTCATTGTGGAAGGTTGGCACATGTATGTAACACATCTTAATTCATTTTACTTCTCTTCCCCATCCTCTCCTATTTTTAAAGTCATAGCATTCACAATTTTCTTTTTTGTTTTGGTGGTACTGGGGATTGGACCCACAGTTTTGTAGTAACTGCATCCCCAGTCCACCTCCTATTTTCTGGAGCCAGAATCTCTGTTTTGTTAATGATTAGTTCATCATCTCGAATTCTCTCTTGTAGCATCTCCTCTGCTTGTTCCAGCATTGTAGCTTCAAAAGGTTTTTTACTTTGAGAAAAAATGAAACACAATCTCATAACTATACTAAAAAATTGTGATAGTTAATATATTGTTATTTTCAAAGTAGTTTTTTTTTTGTTTGAGACAAGAATTACTTGAGGTCATTAAGTTTCTCCGGCTGGGCTTCAGCCTGTGGTCTGCCTGCCTCAGCCTCCCACAATGCACATTGTGCCTGACTACACTTTTTTTTTTTTAACTTTGTCCTTTCTAGTACTTGTCTGAGATACGCTTTCTTTCTAAAGCTTCTCCTGTTTTCAACCTCGTGGTCATTTCAAAGATGCACAGTAGTTGGATTTTATGTACTGGATATGTTATCTGACTTCATCAATGGGTTTGAGTGGCACTGGATGGCCAAACATAGTTGAGTTCACATGCAGGCCCCATTGACCAGGCAGCAGGACCTCTCAGGCTGTTGGAGTGGACAGGAGCTCTGGGGCGAGAAGTTGTGCCCTGCACTCAAGAGGCATTTGTGATCCCCACTGCTCAGCCCTGAACACCAGTAGCTCTTTGCCATCCCCTGTTCATGGGCCATCCACCTGTTGGACTCGGACGAATCCAAGGAGATGCATAGTTAAGCTCCTCAGCAGGGACACTGTGCTGGAGCTTTTTCAAAACCAGTTTTATGGCTAATCAGGTTCCATGCTATTAAAAAAAATACTCTAAAAAACCAGAAAACAAAAAATACTTTTGGGGAAAAGAGAAACAGACTTTAAGAACAAATTTTTAGAGTATTTTTTTCTTGATGCTAAATTATTAAAACAGAATGAGAGAGAAAACTGAGTTTGTTCATAAAAATTCAAGAATCCATAATATGGAAGATATAAATGGAGTCATAGTTCCAAAGAACTTGTTGACACTTCCCTGGATAATTATTTTAGTTAATATGCTGGTAATAGCATTAGTAAAATCATTAATTTCTTAATCCTTATTTTTTTCCCTAAAATTGGTTTAATTTAGTGTGTCAGTATCTAATTTTGGATGCTATGAAATATCTGGATATACTCTAAATTATCTCTCAATAATAGTTTTTAGGAATAACTAGCAAGTTAATAGAAAGTATTAAGCATTTTAATTTGAATGCACTCTACATGCTGTGACAGAAACGACTGCTTATCTTGTTTATATCATTTTCTAAATTTTTGTCTAGTTTTTTGCTGACCTTTTAAAATTGTTTGCCATCTGTTTAACTATAGATTTGTATCTGATCACATTGCTAGAGGTAGTATCACGTGTGCATTTTTTTTGTTAATATTTGAAATGGACGATTCTTGATATAAATACAGTGATAAAATAAATCCAAGGCATCCTTGTAACTTTTAAAGCTCGAGTTTCCTGACTGAATTTGAATAGGGTTGATTGGGGTGCATTGCTTCAGGGAGAATGTATCTGTTGGTGAAATCCAAAATCATTTGTTAAATGGTTTGTGTTATTAGCTAAATTGCCAATGAGAATCTGTTCATTGGTTAGTAAGTTCAGCATGCCAACCTTTTTCCCTTCTATGGGGAGAAGAAACAAAGTATATACTCTCTTCAGTAGCTTTTTCAGAACTCAAGTCTTGATCACCAGGAGCTTTTCACCATGACCCACACAGTGCCTGGAGTTGGTTCAGGAGGGTTGCAGATCAGTCAGTATAGGCTTGCCAAGGGCTTAGCAACAAGTGAAGTCAGAGAGTCTTTCCATCCTGTTTCAGAATAGAGTTGAATACTAATAACTAGTAAAAGAAGAATTATTATTTAAAGAAAGAACAACTTAGAACCCCCTAATCACACTAGCATGAAGTTGGGGGCTAAAGCGAATGAGCACTGCATAGCTGAGCCTGGCTGGGCGAGATGTGTGCTTGGTTTCTCACTTGTATGAACTGTCACTTCCCTGCCTCTGTTGCCTGTCAGCAGCTCACTTTCTTGGGTCAGGGCTGCCTGCATGCTGCCCTGGGAAACACCTTCCTCTTAGTGAGAGTGGGGAGCAGGAAGTGTAGCTGGGGTGTTCTTTGCAGCTGGGAACAGGAGGGTAGGTGGACTGACAAAGGCACAGGAAGGTAAAGGCAGGGGAGGACAGGGGCACCCCTGTTATAGCTGCTCTTTCTGCCGTTAGTATTTCCTTCCCAGAAGAATGCATTTTTCATTCCTATTCTTTTCCTACCTCCCAACTAAGGCATCACTTTTTGCTTCTCAACCAATTAATCACTAGGGTCATCTAAAAAGTTTTCTGAAACTAGCAAAAAATTTATGTTAACTTTGAAAACTGATTTCTAACTGTGCTGTGTTTAGCAACTGAAGATGTTTTTCCCAAGTTATAGGCAACTGGAAAAAGCTGATTTTTATCTAAGGTTTTTGCTTTTACTAAGGGAGTCAATTAAAGAACCACTTTTGGAAAAAAAAAAGAATGAGATTTATAAACCCCATTAATTACTTACAAAAGCAAATTATCTCCTAAAAGAAAACTGCAGCATTGAAGGTGATTTAATCACCACATCTAATTAAAAAGGAAAGTAAGTCAGTATTTCTTAGGACAAGTATAGTCAGGAAAAATTAACCCATGTAACGGGACCTTGTCATCCTTGAACTTGTAATTTTGGTTAATAATCTAAGGAAGCAGCTTTTAGTTAAGGATTGAGTGAAAAAGACTTTCGTAAAATTTTAGGTAACTTGACAAATCTCTGTCATCTCTTTACTTTGTCATAAATAGTCTGTAGGGTGAGATTAACTTATGTGATTTATGTTTGGTGATGGTTCTTTCTGGAGTAGAGCTTGCAAGCTAATTAAAAAAAAAAAATTCTGGAGAGCCTCTTTCCATAAGGTTTAAAGCACTCGGAAACTTTCTAAAGAAAGTCATACAAATGTTTTCAATGGAGTGATGGCCATCTGTGTATTTTTCTTTTTAGGTTCAAGAATTGACTAAGGAATGGACAAACAAGTGGAATGAAACCCAAAATATCTTGAAAGTAAGGACTGTAAATAGTTATCTTAGACTTTACTGTGCTGGCCTAAGTAGGTAAAATTTTATTTACTTATTTTAATCAAAGGTGGCAGTTGCGTGCTTTGCTTAAGGTACAATCAATGGAACTGATTAATGACCATGGCTACAGGGAGTTTCTGGCTTGATTTTGAAGAAATGGAAGACAGGCTGTTAGCCACTACAGCTGTGTGTCTTGATGTGCGCAGGCTATATTGCCATTCCACTTTTTCCATTTTGGGGTCAGCGTATATCAGAGTTCTGTTGCTCAAGGCCAACTGCTTTGTCTTTCTGCATTAGTTAAGAGTCAATATAAAAGCAGCGTATTAAGTGAATAGGCTTTCACATGACAATGTTATTGAGTGTGCTTGCTTGGCATGGCTGGGTTTCAGAAATTTCTAAACCAGTAATTTGCTAGGAAGATATTTTTCTGTGTCTCAGGGACTAGACTGTGCTGGTGTATATTTCTGGCAAGACTCACCATGAAAGAATGCTGGTAACGACCTTCATTTCTCATAATCTGTGCTTCAAAATAAGCGTTTCTTTGTGTGTGTGTGTGTTTTTTTTTTTTTTTTTTTTCCCTCTCTCTTTCCTCATTTTTATTACCTGCTAAAAAAACTTCTATTATCTGTTGGGGGAGCCACTCCAGGTTTGAAGTTCAGGTTCTAATTTTGTGCTTTCATGGTGTTGGGCTGATTTTATATACAAGAGAAAGAAGATCAGAGGCTAGAGGTTTTAGGGCCTGAGATTTGCTTTTGATGGCCATTGAGTTGCCTTAGAGGGTGAGAATCTCCACCTGAGGTTGGGGAGGCTGGATAGGTGAGGTTTGCCTCAGTGTGTTGGCAGAGCACTAACTTGGATCTCCTTGTCGCTTCAGTCACCAGTTCATGGAGACAGACTTGAAGGCACGGATTAGCTTTTGAGGTCTGCCTCTGTCTCCCATATTACACAGATTTCACCTTGCATGCTCCATGTGACTTGGCCTGCTCTGGGGTCAGAATGCCTGCTTCCCGTGGGGTTAGAAGTTGTGGTTGGGTTATAGATGGCAGTGACTTGTGATGGTCCTAGGATTTACTCTCTACCTACTAAAGGCAGTAGGTAAAGGCTTTCTCATCCAGGTTTTCTCCTCTTTCCTCTTGGCTGCTGAGTATATCTTACTGTTTTGATTTATTAGCTCTGCAGTGTTTCCTTTGTTGAAAAGTTGTAGCAGTGCTGTGAGGTGGTATTAGGGATAAGACCCAGGGCTTCTTGCATGTTAGGCAAGTGCTGTAATGCTCTAGGCCCTCCCACCCCCACCCCCTTATGGTGATACCAGGGATCAAACTTAGTACCTTGTGCTTGTGAGGCAAGTGCTTATTCACGGAGCTCTCTCACTGGCCCTCTAGCCCACTTTTGCTGAGAGATTTTAGTGCATGAAACCAAGACTTTATACACATTTCAGAATATTCAGGAATGAAGTATACTTTTTGGTGTTTCAGTGGTAGCTACTCTAACAAGTTGTATCACAATCCCTAAAGCCCAGGTTGTTTGTCCTTCCACAGCATGTTGTAACTTTCCTCAGGAGGTTTGCTGGAGAGGGACACTGATACCCAGCTCATTTAAGGAGGAAGCAGTTACTGATAGCACTTTGGTAGGTCATTTTTGTGCATGTCTGGTAGTGCCAGAGCCCTGCAGTGGTCAGTGGAAAGATACAAGCTGTTGCTGCAGGACTATCTCCCTTTGTCACTGTGATGGTTCATGTGATAGTTTTCTGGGGGTGCTAGGCTGGTACCCAGGATCTTGCACTTGCTCGGCAAGTGCTCTATTAGGAGCTACATGCCCAAACTTGTACCTGTAGTTTTATACTGGGCCTTGAGGACCCCAGTCACTCCTGTCCCCTTGGCGTCTCAGGATGGATTGTGTTTTCCCTGTGCTCTTACAGCCTTCACTGTGCATCTGGCACAGTATTGGGCATCCGCTAGGTTAGTGGTATGAGGTTCTCCCTCTCTCTGCCAGCATCACACACAGAAAGCAGGAGCAGGAGCAGGTCAAGGACTAAATCTCCTTATCATTCTGTGATCCTGTTCCTCCAGCTTGGCTTCTCATAGAGTGAGCATGTGATGAAAACTTACAGGGTTAAGTTTGTAGCAAGAAACACAAATGAAATCCTTCGTATTGATCTGTTAAGCCTACCATAAGAAAATACCACAGCCAGGTGGTTTGAGCATCGGAAATGTGTTTGCTTGCCTCCCGCAACTGTGGCAGGCTTGGTTTCTCCTGAGGCCTTTCTATTTGGCCTGGCTTCCTCTGTGTCCTTCTGCAGCTTTTCCTCTATGTCCCCATGTCTCTCTATGTGTCCTCTTTGCCCTGCACAGGTATGTCAGACTTGGGTTCACCCTGAGGGCCACATTTTAACTTAATCACCTTAGTTAATTAATTTTAATTAAAGGTACTTTCTCTACATACAGCCCCACTCTGAGGCAGTAGGACTTAGAGCTTCCACGTGAGTTTTGGGAACACACAGTTCAGCCCAGAGCCCACCCTGAATGGCACATACCTGAGGGCTCCAGGGAGAGGTGACCTGGGGGCTGTGTGGGTGCAGTTGTGTCAGGGTCACTCTCACCTGCGAACTGCAGCTTGCTTTCTGATGACTGATGGACAGAGTCTTGTAGACTGCATGGTTTACTTTTGGAAGGACTGAATATGTTTGGATTTTTTTGAAGTGTTTACAAAATACATATTAAACAAAATGTGTCTTTACAAGATAAAAAATAATCTTGCACAATGCAAGAAGTTGCAAATCCTTGAAATTTTAACTCTTTAGATGATTTCAGTTCTGTTTTTGATTTCAAAATCTGGACACAGTAAGAAAAAAAAGTGTTGGCAGAGTTTCTATCTGTTTTTACATTTTTCTTTCTTGCTTCAATTACTGGTTACATTGTTTACAGATGATGGAGGAGGTGCTCTTGCATGACTGGTAGCTTTGACATGGTCAAAAAGTTTATTCTGAGATGGAAACTCACTGTGGCAGGTTGCACAGGTGATAAGAACATCACTCTGTGTTTGTGGTTCTGCAGATACTTGAACAGATTTTTTCATATCTTTGGTTTTCTTTCCTTTGGGTTTAGGATTACTTTTAGCTTCACCTTTTGGATCATCACATGGTTCGATGGTCTCTGTGACACTGACATTTCCTAGAAGTTCACCTTCTGATACCTTGGCATTACCTTGATTTATGTTAATATCTTTTGAATCAACCTTTTCTCTTTCTCCGGTTCCACTTTCATTGAAACTGTCATCATAATTCTATCTCTTTTTCTTCTGGTTTTTTGGAAAGTTTTTGTTTTGGTACACCTTCCATTTCTTCCTCAGAACTGGCATTCAATAGATTTTTCATCTACTTGAGATCCTGAAAAATTCTCTTCCTCCTCCTCCGACTGTTGTTTCAACAAGGCAACCATCTCCCGGTATTTCTTTGACTTTTCATGATTCTTCATGGCCTTCTCTGTCTTGAAAGATTTGTCACATGCTGGGCAGTAAAGATGATCATAAAACTCAGCTTCTTCAGCCTCATCACTGTCTTTCCCATCCTGTCCATCTCTGAGCTCATGTGCCTCCATTTAGCTTCATCTGATCCATCTGCAAACTCCTTTTCATGCTGTGCCTCCATCTCCTGAAGCCCCTTCTCCATATCGGCCATGGTCATCCAGCTCTGTTCTCTGTGCTGCTCTGCCAGTTTGGCCTGCTTGAGCTTCTGCTACCGCCTCATCTCCTCACCTTGCTGGCCTTCTCAGCATTCTGTTCTTCTACAAGCTTCTGATGAGCCTGCACTCTCTTGTCTCTTCTACGAATAAAAGCTACCAGATGATGCACAAGCTCATTCTTCTCTTTCCCAGCTTTGTCTCAATTTTTTTTTTTTTTGTTTTCTTTTTCTATAGCTTGCTTTTCCCCACTGTTTTGAAGCTTGCTGTGTATCATATTCTTCCTTCCTGGCAGAATTCTTTTGAGTACAGAAACTGCCAATAAGCATAGAAAGAGTGGAGTGCCATATCATAGTCACTCTGGGAGTCTCCAAAAGGTGGAACATCCTCAACATCCTCCTCTAGTACACATTCTAATTCTTCCTTTGTAATCATTAAAAAAACATTACATTACACTGTGTAAAAGCCCTTTTTATCACCTCCATAACCAGAAACAGGTAACAGTGAAATAGTGAAGCAAATCTAAACTGTCATCTTGATATTTTCCATCAAGCCCTCCTTTAAGTAAGGCTTCTCTGTGATTACCATACCATGCTCTTTCCTGAGGGTCACTCAATACATCATATGCTGCTTGGATTAATTTAAATTGTTTAGCTGCTTCTGCAGCATTATCCAAATTTTTATCCAGGTGCCATTTCAGGGCCAGCTTCCTATATGCCTTCTTGAGCTCCTCCTTACTGGCATTGTGCCACACCCTCAGTGCCTCACAGTGACACTTCATCACCTGGCCATGCCCACTGGGGTAAGGGGTGGGACAGGGGTGTAGACTCAGGCCCACGCTGGAGTGGCAGCAGTGGTGGCGGCTGTATCCTCCTCTCGCGGGAGCACGGTGCCCGCACTTGGACAACCAGCAAGCGCAGAGGCGGCCTGGGTTCTTCTTAAGTGTAACCTGGGCCTGCATTTGTTGCAGTTCCATGCCAGGTTATTTGTAGTGTGGCTTGTGGCCTAGCAGCAGCAGGTCTGCTGCCTAGCACTGGTGAGGGGTCCAGGCTGTGAGTGGCAGAGTCCTAAGCTCCTGCTGGTGTGTGCACCAGCCTCTCTAAGCATTGACCTGTATCTGCTGAGCATGGGTGGAGTGGTCCTGGGCCTATAGGGCTGTCCTTGTCCTGGCTCCTGCGAGACCCCATGGGTGCCTGGAGAGAGCAATAGACCCCTCCTCTCTGGCCTTGCACAGCCTCTGTGGCAAGACCTGCTCTTCCATGGCCACAGGTGCTTTGGCCAGCACGAGGCTGTGGTGGCTGCAGTTCTG